TAGATGGTATTACCCGTTTTACTGATTACACCAAACCACATGTGCAAGTAAACTTGTACGTTCAGCTTTGTTTCTGTTCTTCCGATATTCTGGTCTTCAGGTGGTTGAGACAGCTGCGAAGCGTTTGGGTAAGGATTAAACACGATGTTCAGGCCGACTTATGACGCAGTACGTGTTAACTTCTCATTCAGCTTTTGAACTTATTGCAAGGTGATGTAAAACTTACCGTCAGCTGAGCAGCGAGGGGTGAGTTTCTTCGATTGGTTTGCCAGAAGTTTATTGAGAAACCTCAGTGAATAACCATTTTCTTACAAAGTTAACCCTACGTAGTTCATTTCTCTGCGGAAATCATCTTAGGTGTCGCAGATCTTCTGTCCTCTTTGGAGAAACGTATTAACAGTGCCTTTCTTAACGTTAATAGGATGGTAAGAAGAGTAATGCAGATACCGATTTATATGTGTTTTGTTGCGATACCTGCGGTGGAATATCCAGTATGGACAATACCATCGTTTTCTTTAGAAAAGTACAAAAACGAAAGCCAAAATACGTAGGTGATAAGGAACCTCCAGACACAAATGAAGCTGACGAAACTCCAGATGTCTTGCTAGCATAAGTGCGACTTGCGCAAGAGGTTTCAAGCAAGCTTAAAGGACAAAGGTACGGGTTAACCTTCCTCACCTTTTTGTTGAAATAATCTACACCTAATCAGACCATATTAACCTGTTATTAGCGACTACCTTGTAGTGCCTCACATTACTGTTATCATTGTGATCTTATAAGTTAAATTCTGTATATGTGTTTCTGTGTTATTCGTAAGGATAATATTCATTACTTGTAGGAGTAAAATGTGTACGAATTTTACCATACCATAGGAAGTCATCTTTAGCGTAAAAAATCGTTGTAGCAAATTCAATATTCATTACTTTCAATATATTTTATTAACATCCAGTTTAGAGCGGTAGCAAAGCAATTGGCAAGTGTAATAACTTATTTAGTTTTCTGATGTTCTTACAACAACATAAGCACTTATAGCGTTTCATCGATTTTGCACTATCAGTACATATGCCCTATAATCACAAGTGACATTTGTATTATTTTCTTGCATGAGGAACATTTTAAAAAGGGCATAATCGGTAAAAATGTTTCTATATTTAAAGCTAAAATTTAATCAAAAGTGACTTTGTAATTAGGTCACTAGCTTTAATTAAAATATACTCGAAATGACGGTGGACTTCAGAGCCTCATTCAAATTCACTTTGACACTTATTTTATTTTTGTACACCCCATTCTATACATAAATTTTAGGCACAGAATGTGACACGCAACATAAGACGTATTTCCTCATATCAGCGCAACGCAAGACGTAGATGAAGTCGGATATCTTCCACAGCATATTTTAGGGGGCTGGAGGAAGTCATTTCCAACTGCACAACTCTAGTTATATATTTATCTTGTTTCATTATGTCTTTGAAAGTTGCATCCGCATTAGTTAAAATTTGGCTTCATTTCTTTGTTTATCGTCGACCATTTTTCATGGAGTTTTACAAAGATTTGTCATCATTCTTTTACAGTTCTTGTTTGACAGCTTTTAAGATGCACGTTGTCACAAACGATGATTAAATGACCATACCCTTTACTAGTAACTATTCTTTTCCGGGTACAGTTATCACGAGGAACCGAAAAACGAGACATCGATCAAGAGAGCACGAATGAACAGTCAAGGCATATCTGTGGATCAAAAAGGAATTGTTCCTTCTATGATGCAATAACTTGTGCCCTTCAATACGAGTGTTTAAACGCGGAAAACGTTCTGCTAATGCCAGCAACTAAAGGTGATGATCAAAACAAGCCGCAACATCATTAACAAGTTCATGTTCAGCTAAGATTGCTCATATGAATGCATTACGAAATGACGTGAAAGACTATTGAACGGTGTTAGATCTGAAACGTCGATTTTGCTGAAAGCAAATTTGCGTGCCTTTGCATAAGCTGTCAGCGACAGTCGGTCTGCGTGAAAAGGATAGAGTATTGAACTCTATCCATAACGGCATAGTAAACAAGCGAACTGGTTTGGTTCATGTGAAAAGTTACATCAGTGCATGAAGACCAGCCTTGCTTCCAATAACAAGAACAACAACAAACAGGGTTGCACGTGTCGATTATTAGGTGGGTCAAGGGGTATTTGCAGATATTGGGGTGCTGCATCAGGCAGCATGGCCTAACTCTTGCTGTGTGGCATGACCACACGCAGATCACCATAACATCTCTGTTATAAGCAGTCGACTTCTCTGCTAGTTGCATCGAGGCAACGTGAGGAAAATTTTTTATTCAAGGGACTTAGCAGTTAAGACAAATTATATCTTTTCGATATTCAAACTTGGCACCTTCAGAGTTCGGAACTGACCTCCTTCCACTGCGCTAGCTTGCCACATAAGGAGCATTGTTTATTATGCCGCTTTAAAGCAAGCTGCATGAACTCGGATTTAGGTCATCAACCTGGAAACTACGTTGCCATCTCTTGCGGAAGACCAAGCTTCGTGCTACCACTAAGCACTTGTCTGCGTGGTTGAAACGTCAAACACTAGATCGACCTTAGTTTTACGTCGAACTTGACTAAGACTACGTTAAAGACAAAGAACAGAAATAACATTCAAATAAGAAATGTGCAGCATTCTGTTCATGCTCGGGTGATCATACTGGAATACAGCATAAACACGGATAAAAGTAGAAGAGTATGCGAAGGCATGTTGGGTTAACGCATATTTTCTCCATACCACATTGCCTGCCGCTAACTCGCAGATTCTAAAGTGACGATTTGAGCACACCAGTTCGACGCCATATAATTTGAAAACCGGATGCATCTTCTATACGGTTTTAACAGCTAGAGCAGCCTCATGCTCGTAATGAACAATGTTTCTGGAGCTGACCTCGTTCTATATTATCACACTATTATTCTGCGACAACCAGTGAAAGGTAAAATTGCAGGTATGAACGAATCGTTCAATTTCTATAATTCAGCATAGCCAATAAAAAAGAAAGATTGAAACCCCTCATTCCATTTATTAAGTCGACCCGTTGAGACAGCAGTATAATCAAATTGGCATTATTCTAAAAAAACGTTTAAATTGAACTGATGACATGCTGGAGAAAGACAGGAGCCAACAAATTTTAAAAACAGTAAAACATGCATTAGAAAAAAAATTTAGACAATTTCATTACGATTTCAAGGAACAAACAATTTAATGAATTTTGGCTGTTTCCATAACCAGCTTCTTAATTTCTTCCGTCATCAACTCCACCTGTCCGTTTACCATGTTGGCGGGAACCGCTTTATCTAAATATGAAGAAGATGATATCAGTAAAGGCTCATGCATAATCCGTTGTTATTCTTACTTATTTGCTTTGGCATCGGTAAATTCAGCTCATTCATTAGTTTCACGAATTTCTCTTCCGGAAGAGTAAGGCGAGGGTTGAGCTTGATTTCCTCTTCGACAGACGAAACAGATAATCCTTAAATGGACCAGCTTCTAAGCGACAGCCAAATTGGTGGTAATACCTTTATAATCATGTCCAGGAAAGAGCAGGAAGTCTTTAGGAAGAGACAGAATCTGATTATGAACTGATCTGTACAGCAGATGGGGATCGCCTGTAGGTTCACAGAGGTAATGATGACGAAGTAGTAGTAATCATTAAATCTGCACCTTGCTGAAAATCCGTTCGTCCGCATCCTCTTATCAGCAAAGTATCGCCGGTGAGTGCCAAACGCAGCGGATGGCAGACGAATGTCATACAACCTTGAAGATGTAGCTGAACTTCAAATTACACAACTTTAATTTGCTATTACCGTCAGTGTGGCCAGGGGTGCACAGGGCTTCGATTTCTAGCTTTCCGATTTTCAGTTTGTCTTTGTCATGCAGTTTGATATCACATTTGCCGTTACTCCTAGCCGACAGAAAGGTTTTACAGTCTGGAACAAGCTTCTGTATTTCACCGGTTCCAGTGACATGGTCAGCGTGGACATGAGTATTTCCTAAAAAAAGTTTCGTAATGGTTGAGCGTTTATCTCTTGACCTTTTCAATTTGGGAAAAAATATCTATGAAAATAAAAATATTCTCCCATGTAGATACGTAGTTCCATTCATATCATGGAGGATTAATTAGCATGTCAATTTCGAATCCAGAATGATCCCGCGCACTCCCATATACAAAATAATGCGGTGTGTTGTCCAAGAGGTCTGCTTCGAACACCAAAGGTGCGGGATTCGATTCCACTCGAGGACTATCTTTGTCTTATTCACGAATTCTCTTGAGCAGGAATTTATCAAACATTGCTTCAGACCGGGTTTGTTCAGTCGGTAGGGTATTCAAGCCTCGGTCAGGGTCACTCGCCTTTCTTCCTTCTGAGGCTGATAAATGAGTACCACTCTGTGGGAAGGAAACAGGAGACTATACATTACACCTGCCACATGGCTGAAGACTCAGCCTTAAAAAATAAGACACTCCTGGCTGATGGTATAGAAATCGAGATCAGATCAAATCATCGGATCATCAATTTCATGAAAACAAGGGCGTCAATATAGCACTAATCATGCAAGTGAAGGAAGACCGACGACGACAGACAAAAAAATCCTCGGCATCATTGAACAATTATACAGCCAGTCTGTAGGAGCAGTGAAATCCCTACGAGTTTCGTCGAATTGTCTGAAAGTTACAAACGGTGCGAGGGAAGGCAACGCTGTCTAAATGATGACGTGAAAAAACGCTGATCATAACGCCGAACCAAAGACAGCTTAAAACATCAAGCAGTTCACCTCACTCACCTTCACAGTCAAACTTCTTTTTGCACGACATCAGAGACAAATTACAGTTGTTGACAGAATCGGTTTAAGCCACTGCCGAAAGTGTGTTTTCGAACCAACTGACTGAAAACTCGGATACGGAAGGCAGAAGGAACAGAAATCATTACAAGGAGATGGATTAGTCGAATCCGTCTGCATCAAATATATAGGCTCAATTGTTACCCAACGAAAGCTTTGTGACGCAGAGCTAATAAGGAAAATTGCTTTTATGGCGGCAGGATTAGGAAGCCTAGCGAAAGTCTGGCGTGAGTAACACATTAGCGTTCCCTTGATTATTAAGATTTTCGAGTCGTAAGTCATCCTCAGTTTTCTGTATGACTTAGAGATATGGATCCCATTGTTAGTTAGGGATGGTAATTCAAATACCTCCCTGTAATGATGCATACGTAGGGCTCTAAGGATTCGGTGGCATCATTGCTGCCTGTGACTATATTATGAAAAGTCATACCCGCTGTGCAGGAGCAACAACTGGAGAGGTATGACAGAACAGTGAGCAAAGGTAGAACATCGCTGGCTCATTAGACTGAATTACGGTAACTAAGTGATGGCCATTTGGCCAAAACGCGAAGATGAAAAAACCTTATTCAAGGAAACCTGCAGTCGCCTGAGAGCATTACCCTTCAGGAAATAGCCAAAGAGTGCATAAAATCATGCCGGTGCTGCAGATATAAGCTTAAGCACCGCAGAAACTAAATGACCTCAATTCCATCACACATAAGAAAGGAAAAACAGGTGTTTTCAATCAGCTCTTGTCCTCACTTTTTCTTAGTGCACGATGGATAAATCTGTTATAGCTGAAGATGGAAATGTCTACATGGATAAACAAGTTTAACTACGTCGAATTTGATCCTCATGCATTAAAATAAGTTCAGTATGACTGACAGCGTCTGTCTGGTTCTCCAGCAAAAGAAACTAGACAGTAATAGATATTTTGCATTGTGTACGCCACTGCATAGACACGAGGTACTTCAATGTTCTGGCGTAGCTACCAAAATTTAGCTATTCAATTCCGCCCATAATCGTAACGTTTAAATTTCTAATTCCAGATTAACTTCTAGCCAAATACTTGCCTACGGATAGTTGAAGAATTGAGAATGAGTTAGTGTTCGAATTCGCCCTTGTTCAACCCAACCCAGTGATACGGCCCTGCATCCAATATTCTACAGGTGCTCAAACACCATGAAAACGCAACCTTCTTAAATGGCCTCGCAAGGCGTATACAGGCAAGAGGAGGGACGCTAACGCTGAGTAAATGCGATATCAGCATTTAAAATGTTATATTGTGATATGATTACCGGCGAAATTAGAAAGCTATAATGTTGCAATTATTGCAGAAAATCGGGATTATTAAATTCTGTCTATGTCTACATCGCACGACGGTTTAAACAAATCCCAGCAATGACAACTGATGTTGAAACCGAGTGGCAGCTATTTAA